TTAGGCCTGGCTCCTCTGCTCATAATGCATTGAAGGAGGTTGTATTCGATAAAACTCTGTTGGAGGACATTCAGCAACTAACACTAAGTTGTCATACTGGCAATTTAGAGGTGTACCATAGTGTGCAGACCAAATATGCACCCAAACGGCAGCACTTCTCTTATAATGGCATGGTTGCTCGAACTCAGTTGGCAGCCCTAGACCATAGTGCCAACACTGGTAGACAACAAGCCACTGTATCCAGGGGTGCCAACCAAGGGGAGCTGCAATACAAGGTAGTGTTTCCGAAAAATACAAAAGAATGGGTGGCAAAGCCCATATTTGAGAAGACAACCAATTATCATCTCAAGCCAATGGTTAATGCCATTGTAGAGAGAAAATGCTTAAAACCACAAGGGAGGAGTGCAACAGTCACAGCACCACACATTCCTGAAAACATTGCCAGCAAACCCCGGCCTCCTAAAGCAGATGTCATTGCTAATCATACTTCGATATTTTCGAATAATTAAATACAACAACTTTGTCAATAACACAATCAAATGAAAATAAAAGCAATCATCGTAGCAAAAAGCAATCAAAGTTAGGTTTGAGGTTTATTTCATTCAGGCCACGCAGCTATCCCTGGCAATGTGGATAATTTAATAACTGCAGTAGGGATGACATTCGTTTGGCTCTGCATGGCTTTTGACTGAATCACTATGCAGAAATGTGTTAGTAATTCATATCCTCGATAAGAAATTGTATATTTCACGCAAACTTTAGAAAGAAACCGTAACATAAGGAAAGAAGAGCCTCTGAAGTTATACACGCAAAGGATATGTTACTAATCATTATTAAAGGACATTAAGGATAAAGTTCAAAGTTCCAGATCTGCTTCTCGAAACCCCACGTAATTACCACTCTCTTCTGGAAATGTTTTACGTATGGCCGTGACGACGCATGCTGGCACGATTCTCTGCCGGTTTTTTCCTAATACCCCATGTGCCCACCAAGTAAATTGTATGTAGGCTGCCAAACGCCAAGTTCTAGAGAACAAGAGGATATAAAGTCACAAAAGCGATTGACTTAATTACGTGTACAAAATAAGAAAGAAAAAGACAGTTTACCTGTTGACGATAGGGTCGGGAATTGGATTGAGCCGCACACTGTGGATTGCAACCAATGCCGTGCTCCAAGCACACAATACCAAATTTCGGATGTTCTGTTATACATCTAACACCTATCAAGAAGAAAAAAGTCTTAACATTTTATTTCCCTCACTGTTTCAATAATTTTCATCCATCAGACCTTGTAATTGTAATTACAACTAAGATCGAGTTTGCAATTGTCCACCTTTTGTCACTCTTAGCAAAGAAGCGGTCGCTTCAAACAAAATACTCGTGAGAATAATCACATATCAAGTACAAACCTGAATTGTCGAACTTTTGATTAAGCTCCTCTAGTTCTTGGCAGCAGTAACATTCATTTGCCACCGGCATAAGCGCACAAGCGCCGCACAAACACCATTCGGTGTTTCCCATCCTCGAAGTATTGTCTTCTTCGTGGGCTTCTACCTCCTGTCCTACACTCTCTTCCTGAGGTGGTTCTTCTCCAGGCTGATATACTGGTTCGAACTGAAATGGTTCTATTCCGCTCATAACGAAGGGTCGACGAAGAAGCAATTTGTATTAAAACTTAGCTGAACGATAACGCGTTCTAAAGTGATCCCCATAACATACGTCACAGGCTCATTTGGAAGACCGCTGATTTAAAATCGGTGCCCACGGTTTGAAAGCCGAAACAGCGCCAAAATACAAACTTTAAAGAAATATTTCTCCAAGGTAAGACACATTTAGCACAAA